AAGTACTCACAAGCACTCTTGTGATTCAAAAGCTCAACATCATGAATTTTGATGATCTTCTTGGTTTTTAAGCACATTAGTCTATATGCCTTAGTACCTTCATGATAACCAAGAAATACACTCTTTGTACCTTTTGCATCAACTTTGGACTTCATACAATTTGGTGTTTTTGCATATGTAATGCAACCAAAGGTCCTCATATCGGAAATGCAAGGTTGTCTCCTACTCCAAGCTTCTTATGGTGTCATTGATGCAAGAGCACTTGTTGGCCATCTATTTCTTGTATATATGGCATTCACCACAACTTCCGCCCAAAATTCATAAACAAGGTTTTAAGCATGAAGCATGCTCTTTGCTATCTCTACAATGGTTCGATTTGCCCTTTCAGAAAAACCATTTTGTTGTGGAGTGTATGGAGTTGTGGTTTGTTTAGCAATTCATTCATTCTTCAAATAAACAACAAATTTCTTAGACATGTACTCACTTCCATTATCTGTATGTAGTACCTTGATCTTGTATTCACTTTATTTTTCAACAAGTGCTTTAAAATCCTTAAATCTCCAAAAGCATTCACTCTTCGCTTTAAGAATGTATATCCAAATCTTTCTTAAATAATCATCAATGAAAGTAATAAAATACATTGATTCTCCAATACTTGTGTTCTTCATAGGTCCACATACATCAAAATGGATAATCTTCAGCAACTTGGTAGCATATGTTGCTACGCTACTTGAAAATGAGGCCCTTTGTTGTTTGCCTTGAATGCATCCTTCACATGCAAGTTGTTTTGCACCTTGGCTTGTATTGCCAAGATCAAAGCTACTTACCATAGACTTGAGCTCTCTCATGCTCTTTATATTTAAATGGCCAAGGCGACGATGCTATATATTCAACTTATCTTGGTTTAATGTAAACTCAATAAATTTAGCGACCTCCACTCCATTCACCTTCTAACAAATGAGGTAGTACAAATTTCCCTCTCTAAAGCCTTTGAAGACCTTGTCTCTACTCAATGTTCTTACAAAACATCCATTCATGTCGAATTAAAATTTTAAACCTTCCACTACAAGTTTACTCACCGAAAGTAGGTTTTGCTTCATCTTAGGCACATGAAGGACGTTTTTGAATCTGATCCTATTGGTTTGTCCATTCACAACCACCTCCACTATAATAGAGCCAATTTCAATGGCTTCATATATACCACTATGTGCCAACACCACATTTGATGCTGGAATAGCCTCATAAGTATCAAATAAATACTTATAAGGTGTCAAATGAACACTTATAAGGTGTCATATGCTTGAAACAACCTAAATCCACAATCCATCTTGACATGGCAGCCATAGAGGTCCCATTTGTTGCCATGAATGCATAATCTTGTCCTCCAAACTCATCTTACATACTATTTGCATTCTCTTTCTTTATCTTTTTGTCTTTATAGCAATTTCAAGAAAAATGGCCTACTTTGCCACAAATGAAGCAAGATTTGACATAACCTCGTTGATTTGAATAGTTGTCTTTGCCTTCATGTGAGTAGAGTGCTAAATCTTTACTTTGGGACTCATTTTCTTTCTTCTTGGTTACTTCATGGGCAAACCTTGTCGTCACATAGTCCATTGTAAGTTCTTTTAGCTTAATGAACTCCAATGCCATAATGAGATAGTTGTAAGATTCGGGAAGGCTTATTAGTAAGATCATGACAATATCACTTTTTTCTAAAGGCTTGTCAACAATTGCTAGTTGGTTTACAAGAGCCTTTACCTTATTGACATGAGCCATGAAGTCTTCACCTTCTTCCATCTTGCAAGTAAAGAACTTCCTCCTTATATAGATGATGTTAGATAAGTTCTTGCTTTCATAGATATTGCAAAGAGTCTTCTATGCTTCCGCTAGTCTTTTGCAAGAGATATTGTAGGAGAAGTTAGCTTCATTCATATTAGTTGCAATCAATCAAAAAGCCTTCTTTTCACAATGTTTGAACTCCTTCTCCTTCATATCAGCATCTATGCTTGGAACCTCTTCACTTTCATGCATAATATCCCAAAGATCCAAAGACGCCAACAAAAGCTCCATTTTTACCTTTCAATGGTAGAAATTTTCACCTCTAAACTTCTCAATTACTCTCAATCCTTTACCCTCACTTGAAGGCATATTGAAAGGAGAGATGTATCAAAAAGAAAAAAAACTTGAAAGAAGAAGTCCTAATGCTCTCAAAATGAGCAAGAAAGTATTGCTGCCTTAGAATCACAAAATCCTTCTTTGTCAACAAACTAATATTCTTACTCTCAAAAACACTCTCAATTTCACTGTTAAGGCTTCTCACAAGTCTAATGACCTATTTTTATATCTCAAATTTGACTTGCCATTCAAATATCACTCTTATGCTCACAAATCACCTCTATATACCATAAGAGGCTTTTTAAGCACAATCAACATTTTTAGAACATGAAACTACAAAGTTAGACTATCAAGGATCTATCTTAGTAATAGCACAATGCAAGTGTTTTAAAATTTTGCCTTAAGGTGAAAAACTAAACATCAACACCAAAATGCTCTAAACCACAAGTAAGAGCAAACCAAGATCTAGATCTAGATCTGAATCTGAAAGTTAGGTACTTCTAAACCGTAACATCAGTAACAACAACTTGATCTACTCCACACATCAACAACCACTTCAAAGAACTTCAAAATACTCAAGAAAATTTGAGTGGGCCCATAACCTATTGAAGAAATGAAGTCTAAAAGCTACAAACACTTAGCATCAGCAAGGTTTGCATACAAAGAGAAGTGTAGAGTAAGATAACTCTTATTTCCAACACCTTTTACTTATAGGTGGTGGTTTGCTAACCAACGAGGCAACTTCCATCCTTTTGATATTACATCCATTTCTACTTCATCCAACTAAACCCTAGGTACTACCATAGTAACTTCCTTTAATTCTTTGCTGCTTTTTGACTATTAGCAACATACTATGCTTAATCTCTAAGCAAGTACTTGTTGATCTTCAATACATAGCAAATGTGGTGTCTATTTTGTGAAAGACAAGTGAATATATTGGTTTCTTTGTATTAATACATCCTCTTATTGGTATGTGATATAGTCTTCAGTAAATTATCAAAAATGTTAATGTTCATACATAATTCTTTTAAAAACCATTTTGATTTATATTTTTGATAAAAAATTGAAAATTTAAAATATGCCCAAAAATCAATAAATTTTCTTATTGATAGAAAAGACTATGATAATTTTATAGCAAGTTATTTATGATTAATCCTTGATGTATTCAATTAATAATTAATACCATATCTAGTTACATATGCATATAAATTGTAAATTATTTTATGATTTTTTTTCTATATTTTGATTTAAATCATATCTTTCATATATATCTATAAGTAGATGAATGAGATTATTGTGAAATCAAGATGCATTGAGAATCTAAAATAAAAATATGTAGATTTATCAATTTAAATTTATTTTATTTTCTATATAGCAAGAATTGCTTTTTAAGATTTTCAGCATACTTTTAGTGAATGTTTATATAGAAATAATATATATATATATATATATATATATATAGCTTTTAGATTAGATTTTTTTTCTTTTTGAGTATTAATTCTCAGTAAAATTATTAAAAATAAATAGTGAAAAAATTATGAATATTTTTTTTACAAACATATTATAATATAAAAATTTTATTCTTGATTTATTAATTTAATTTATATATTACAAAAATGACTACCAATCAATTCAAGAAGTATAATAAAGTTGTTGTTGATTTAAAGTTGAGAATATAAATGGACAAGGTAACAATAAAAATATCAGAAATTAATTAATTTAAAAGTATGCATTAGGAACATTGTGATATATTAATATATAGTCTTTAAACATCTCTTTTCTTTTGGTTATATGACATAGTATTTTTGCTAATTTGTAAAAAGAGTCAAAGATAAAAGTAAATAAATAAATAAATAACAAATTCAAAAAAAAAATCACTCTCAAAATCATACATTTGACTCAACAATTTTAATAAGATATTTTTGTTATTATTATTTTTTAATTTAGAATTATGTAAAATCTTTGGCAAGAAATATGTATGAACTAATTTACATATATACTATATAAAAAAAGTATTAAAAAATGATATTAATTGAATCAATATCCAGGGCAGTGATAAAGCAACCAAATTTTTTACTAAATCGACCCACATGTTTAAACCATCATTGGATCCTTTCAACCTTATCTCTATTTCCAGCCATTTTGATGTTCCCAATTGTCATCATGTTTCTAGCTATTCCCATGTTTCCAACCATTTTCCCTTGTTCTTAACATTCCCAATCATATGCTCCCATCTTTAACAATGGTTGGAAATGGGGAATGGTTGGAAACAAGAATGGGAGATGCAAGGGTGCAATTATGGTGAAGATAGAGTGGGTTGCTTTAATAAGAATTTAGATCACTTTATCATTCTCCTAGATATATATATATATATATATATATATATATAATTTGTCACTTGGTTGTTACAATCAAATAAAATATCAAATAATACTTGAAAATACATATATGTTAACAATACAACATTGTCTTTATCACATGGTTGTAGAAATTTTGTTACAAATTCTATACAGTTGGACACATTTTATATTTTTATCCTAAAAAGAATCACACAATATTACTACTGTAACATATGAGGTATGTATATAAATTCTTTTGTTCATTTAAATTAAAATTTTCATAACAATATAGATGGATGCATAGGTAGACTATCTTTCATACGTACAATTTCCCAAGTAGTGTTCAAAATCCTACTCTGTATCAATACAAACCCGTATTCATATACATACAAATTTATGCAATAATTTGGATGAACAGATATCATCGATGGATATCATCAACTTCCCACGCGGCCTGAACGTTCTCACTCGTGTTCTCAAGTGAATGAACCGAAGCGGCGTTGTTCCCTACTGTTCGCAAACCATCGTCCAATTTCTTAAACCCTAAACCCTGCTCGCTATCGTTGTTGGTCTGTTTGGCCAGCGCCCGGTTGTGGCGTCGTTGTGCTGTTTGGAATCGGCGTCGAACGCCAGCGACTGAGGTCCTGCAGCCTCCGCCGTGCTTGTACTCTAGATTTCTGAAGCTGTAGTTGAGGAAATTTTGTATTTGTTCCGGAGGTAGGATTTCAAAGAAGAAACCGCTTTGCAGATTCAGCATGGCTGGGAAGAGGAAAAATGACGACGTAGCCGGAAGTAGTGTTATGCCGAAGAAGCGGGCAGCACAGGAGGAAACGGCCGGGGCGAAGCCTGCGGCGAAGCGTAGCGAGGAGGAGGACTTTCCCCGAGGTACTCACTTGTGGCTCCACTTTAGCATGTCTCACGATTATCGATTATCCTGGTGTTGTTTAGTTTGTGCGTGATGCCCTAAGCACTTCCTCTGCTTCTGCCTAATTCTGATTCGGACAATGCCTCTTTTGCTGATTACACGAAGAAATCGGCATTCGCGAATCTTGTTGTTCCTTACATTACGTGATTTGCGATCAATTATTGAATTAGAGTATCTTTCCACTGAAGAACTAGTTTGTTGACTTGTTGTTTGTTTCCTGTATGTTCCTTTTGAAATTCAAGGTTGGTGGTACTTCTTCAGCATCCGTTTGCCCGGAATTGTTTTCAAAGCACTTTTTTAGTTGTTTTGGTGTTTTGAGTAAACTGTAGTACCATTACGAGTCCGTGAAAACTGTGCCGCATTGGATTTTCATTTTTGTTGGGGGAACTTCGCTATCACTATCTTCAATGTAAGAATTGTCCTGTTTCTGTTGCTTACGTAATTTTGGGGCGCTCATATCTAGAACTGGGATTGGAACTGACAATTGCAAGCAGGAGGTGGAAGCGCCTTGACCCCTGCTGAAATTCGAGAGGCTCGTGAAGAAGCAGATGCTGACTTTGAGAGAGAAAAAGGAAAGAAAATTGGAAAGAAAGGGGGCAAGAAAGGAAAGCATGGCAAGGGGGAGGATGATGAATTTCATGGCAGTATACTGTCTGGGAAACTTCAGAAGTCGGCGGACATTTTGCGTTATAAAGTAAGTGCAATGAATTGTGTGACACTATTTTGAAATTCTAAACATTCTGCAACTGATGTTCTGAAGCTTGTGTTATTTTTCATTCGGTGATCTTTTTTTCAGTTCTCTATTTTTAATGCATCTTTGCGTCTGCAGAGTCTCGTTGTGGGGATGAAAATATGGGGAGCTGTTGCAGAGATTAATAATAAGGACATGGTCATTAGCCTTCCTGGGGGCTTGCGTGGTTTCGTCTTAGCCGAGGAGGCTTCTGAGGTATTTGAGAATGTGAAGGGACATAATGATAAATCTAAGAAATCAAGCCAGAGAGGGAAGAAGATGGAAGACCAATCGACTGATTTACCCGACGCAGATAAGGTATGCCCGATTCGTCTCTCACGAGAATATAATTGATGTGCTTGAGATCCGTCGTTGTGTTTTTTTTTTTTTTTTTTTTTTTTTTGGCTTATTTCGATTTAAGTTTTCTCTCACTAAGTGTTCTTTGGTTGTTCCATCCTGATGTTATGAAGAAATGATATTGTCATAGAGCTAAAGTCGAATGGTGGAGTTGCAGGAAGTCCCTCTTCTATCCGATTTGTTCAGTGTTGGGCAACTTGTAGCATGTACTGTAAGGAAGCTTGAGCTGACTCAAGAAAAGAAAGGTCGTGGGAAACCAGAGAAGGAGGGAAAAAACGAGAAGAGAGGTCGTCGCATTGAGCTGTCCCTGAAACTCGGTTATCTTTACGATGGGCTGTCAATCGAAGCTGTGTATGAAGGCCAGGTTAAAATGAAACCGACAATCACATTTCCTTTCTCTAGGGTTTAGGGCAAGAAGGAAACCGGTCAATCCTGCCACTAGTTTCTGTTGGTTTGCCGTTCTTTTAGTGATAACTCTACTCTTATCAGCTGCATTGTGGAACGAGTTAATACTCTGTGATGTAGCAAGATTTTTACGGTAAATATCGGCAGTACTTCTCAAGTTTCGACTTACTTGGGAACTCAGTACCGTAATCATATGTTGTATATCGTCTACAGATCCATAAGTTTGGACCTCAATGAATATTTGGTTCTTGATCTTATCTTACAGGCTTTAACTGCCGTTGTTACAAGTATTGAAGATCATGGATATCTTCTTTCATTTGGAGTCCCTGCTGTGTCCGGTTTCTTGTTACACCGTAACTACTTGGATGGTAAGTGGAGAATGCTATAAACTTGCATATTTTGCCTACGTAGGGTGTTGCTTAGCATTCTTGTATTCATCATCCATTCAAAAGTTGTTTGTAACAGTTCCATATAAAGTTTTGGAAGACTTTTGCTTTCTTTCTTGATACTGCCGTGTCGGTGATTCTATGTCGACTGGTTCGTGAAAAATCAGATTTTTCCTGCTTTCCCGAAAATACTTCTTATGTATGTGAAGCTCAGATATTAGGTCATCATGGGCGCACTTCAATCTCGTGACAGAGCCATTTTATATCGGGCTTGTTCCTCGAACGAGTTATCACCAGGCAGAATCATAATCAGTAGGTTTGTTTGATGATGCAAACTTCGACTATCCACTTTACAGAATTTCTTAAGTTTGATCTTGTGGCTTCAACAGGAACAGGGACTTCTAAGTTGCGCACAGGACAACTGGTGCAAGGTGTCGTAATTTCAGTGGACAAAAAACGGGGCGCAGTCGGATTGAAGGCCGATCTGGGCCTGATCTCTAGTAACATGGTACTTCCTCATATCACATGTTTTGATCTGTAGCGCATCAGCACTCTCTATGTCGTAGGCTACTAGATCCCTATTACCTGCTTCTACTGCCATCTAAATTGAAATTATTCCTTCTCATACTCCGAAGTGAAATGATTCATTGGATAGTGTGTGACATTGTACTGTTGTTATTTTCTTGAAAGACTTCCTTTCAGGTCTCCACTAAATTTCGCTTTGCAGCAGAGTGCTGATACCAATCCTTGTTTCGTACCAGGTGAAGGAGTTTGCTGGTCTGACTGTGGAACTGCTCACACCTGGTGCTATGGTGAATGCCCGAGTACGGTCAGTTTTGAAGAACGGGCTTTTGCTATCATTTTTGACCTATTTCACTGGGACAGTAAGCCTTCCTTCAGATTCGCCCCTATTTTAATTTTTTTTCGTTGTCTCATCCTTTCCTTTGTTTTCAAGGTTGATGGTCGTCCTCCTTCTTGCACTCAATATGTTTTTCTTTGTGTAGGTGGACATATTTCATCTGGAGGATCCTTTGCCAGGTGCTGACTGGAATACGAAATATAGCGAAAATCAGCGAGTAAGAACTTTAGATTTGAAAAGAAGTGCTATTTTTGTATGTGTATGGTATGTCGAGTAGTGAATAATTACAACGGTAATGCGTATGTGCTGGATACAATGTTTATGACAAGACCTCGCATTCATTCATGCACTAGACGGTTGCTTTAATGAATGCGAGATCTTCAATACGGCGATTTACCTTCATTTTTGTTTTGTTACTTTGGTTTTTGTTTTTTATGTATTTATAAATAGGTCAAATTACTGTGAAACCTCATAAATATAATGATGAATCTTCGAATACCAGTATTATTCTTCAGATTTAAAGATGTTTTTTGAATGTCTCGAGTTGTGCTGTTGTCAGATGAAGAGTTCTCATATACTGGAGCATTCTAAAGCAGTTGTGTTGTGTGCAGTTGAAAGCTCGAATATTGTACATAGACCCTGTGGCTAAGACTATTGGGTTAACTCTGAATCCTCAACTTCTTAATAACGTTCTACCTTCTATGGTAAGGCTCTTTTTGTCCTAAACTTATTCGTTATTCAGACGTTGATCACGTATCATTTGATTGATCTCAAATTTTGTAGGATTTCGTTTTATTCTATTGCATCTTTTTCATTCTCTTCGTCGATGGCTTGAGCACTGATAAAATAATGGTGGTCCTCGTGTAGTCCGTGGATGTGGGAGATGTCTTTAAAGACGCAATCGTTCGACGTGTGGATGCAACAATTGGAATGCTTCTTGAGCTTCCTACCAAGGAGAACGTTGTAGCAGGCTATGTTCATGTCAGGCTCTCCTCAACTCACTTTGATTGTCGCTCTGAAATACGTCTGTATTAGTTCAGATAGGGAAATTACTCTCGTTTGGACAGTCCTGGGATTCTTTCGTGTGAATTCGGTCTTCAGATCACCAACCATTGTCAGTTTTTTCTTCATACATTCTATCTTTTACTTAGTCTGGCTCTACAATTTCCCATAGATTTCAAGCGTTTCAGATGAACATATTGCAAAGTTGGAAAAGAAGTACACAGTGGGAAAGAAAGTGCGAGCCCGTGTCATAGGACATCGAGTTATGGACGCTCTTGCGATAGCTTCCTTGAAGGTGATTTGCACTTATCTCATATCTGAGCAGTGTGTTACTGGTTCTTCAATCATTCACAAACTTCGTTGACAGTGACTGCTCTTGAAGTGATTAGTTTTCAACTTGCCACTATTATTACCACACTGACGAGTCTAGGATATTTGTGATACTATTTTCTTACGTGGTTTGCATTGTCACATGCAGGAATCTGTGGTGGACCAACTTTTACTTAGTCATGCGGATGTACAGCCAGCAATGAATGTAACCGGTACCGTGATTGCTGTTGAGCCCTATGGGGCGCTTGTACAGCTGGCTGAGGGTGTAAAGGCTCTATGTCCTCTGCAACACATGTCCGAGTTCCAGCGATCCAATCCAAGTTCCAAGTTTCAGGTGCGTGTTTCCAACCATTCCGGTTTGTTCAAAATGTTCGGATTCTCAGTGCAGTATTAATTCCACTGAATTTTCCAAAATCTAATCTAGAGCGGTTAGAAGTCGAGGGATCTGACCTACATTTGCTTTTTTGGTGAATCTGCTTCAGTTTTTCTAAATTAAGTACAATTTAATGGTTCAGGGGTTGTGATCTAAATGATTCAAGATCTTGTCTAATTTTTTATGAAGTATTTCAAAATGGTGTGCATTCATGTATTCTAAGTAAGTTGTCCTGGAAGTGTTTTGTTGTCTTAATTTTGTGGTTGACTTCTGCAGGTTGGATCTAAGCTGAAGTTTCGTGTGCTATCCTGTGATCATCATGCAAAGAAGATTACGCTGACACACAAAAAGACATTGGTATGTGATGTTACAGTTAGTTTTACGTTACTTTGGAACTAAGTGTTAATAGAAGCACACGCACTTCTGCAAAGTAGAGTTTTAGGAGTTCATGCTCATTGCATGGTTTGACTCTTGAGAGATGTCTGTTCCAGATTACATCGAAGTTGAGTCCTATCGTAAGCTATGAAAGTGCTGTGGAGGGACTTGTGACTCATGGTTTCATCACGGGCATTGAGGATATCGGCTGCTTTGTGAGCTTCTACAATGACGTCAAAGGATTGGTTCACAAGTACATAATCCGTCCTGAAGTTGGTTGCCCTTAACAACCAGTATTGCTGTATATGATACTTGAAGATTTCCATATTATGGGAACGTTTTCTTCTTCGAAGATATTCAACTGTCTGTTAATCGATACAATTCATTGATACCCAAAACATATGAACTAAATCTAGTGCTCCATTGCTTCTGACCTGTCGTCACTGTGCAATGAAACGATCACCATTAGGATCTACTTTCAATCTTCGTGTACTAAATTCCCGTTTTGACATGTCATGTTTTGCGCAGGTCAGCTCTTGGTATCGAAGCAGGTGTGAAGGCAGAGAACGTTTTTCAAGTTGGTCAAAGTATCAAGTGTCGAGTTCTGCGATCAGATCCTGCAGCCCGTCGCCTTTCTCTCAGTTTCATTACTACTTCTTCAAGGTTAAACCTAACACTTCGTCGATCTCAAAGTGCCTAGTTCGGCAATATCGTTTTTTGCTGCATAAAACTGGCATTCTCGTTTTCAAATGTTTTTTTCATTGTTCAACCCTTTTTATTTATTTATTTATTTATAGTTATGTTAACTCGTGGGCTGAACTCTCTTATCAGAGTTGTCCCGCCTCTTTTATCGTTGAATCTAAAAGTATACATTACAGCTCTTTTCGCAGTCCTTTGATATCTTGATCGTTTTTCAGAGATGATGCTTCAGAAGGAGCAGCTGGTGACGAACTTATAGGAAAAGTTGTTGCTGGTACTGTACACCATGTTAATGACAGTGTCATCATAGTGAATGTCTCCACTCCAACGGGGTTGGTCAAGGGTTATCTCACGTTTCCTCACTTATCCGACACCCTGGGTAGGAATAAGCACTCCTCAAAATGGTTCGCTAAGCGTGTATCTTGTTCACTTGTAGTATTATTGATGTTTTATCATGCATGGATTTGTAGCATGTCTAAAATCCATTTTAAGTGTTTTTGATTGTGTGTGTTTTTATTTTTATTTATTTATTACTTTTTCTTGCCTCTTCTCCTTAAAAGAAATTTACTGTGCAACTTTTTTTTTGCTGTGGCAGGACATATTGAGCAGCTGAAGTCTGTCACAAAAGTGGGGTTTCAATTCGACCGGCTTCTCGTCCTTGGTACGGAGTTCATATTTTAATTCTTTCAATTGGACGCAAATGTGTTCGTTGCGTAGTTATTGTTTTACTCATCCCTTAGCGCAGATTTTAACAATCATACTCCCACTCAATGATTCTCCAGTAATGTAATGAATAACGGAGATAAATTCCTTCATGCATAAACTTCAGATATGTTTGTGTTCCCAGGGTAATTCCTGTTGATATATTCTTTTTCGTTTCTGCAGATGTCACGGATAAACAGAAGCTGATTGTTTCAGCGAAGCAATCATTGCTGCAGGCAGCTTCATCCCTACCATCAGACATATCTCAATTACAGCCACAGTCTGTAATACCAGTAAGTCAACTTGGCTCCTTGTTCTAGTTTGTAATGATCAAGTTAGTTTATGAATATTTGCTAACTGTAATGGATTATAGTATTTGAATTCTTCCTCGAGTCTCTTCCAATAGCGGCACAGTTAACGTTTGAATCGAACTCTGCGAGGTGTTGCATTGTATATTGATGATTTTTTTTGTAATCTTCTGCTAAGTATACTTCGTTTTTGGTGCAGGGTTATGTAGCAAACATTACTGATAGAGGTTGCTTTGTCCGGTTCCTGGGACGCTTAACAGGACTTGCAAGTGTTCCTCAGGTATTTAATGTTTGGAGCCATACACTAAATATGGGACGAAATATAGAACATTAACATATTCGTGAGAATCGTTGCATTCTAGGGTAATGAGACTTCTGGTAACTTCAACTTTCTCGCTTGATGTGTAGGTGGCTGATGAGTTTGTCAGCGACCCTAGCAACCATTTCAGTGTTGGACAATCTGTTCGTGCACAAGTGCTCGAAGTAAGTCAAATGTCTTTGAAATTTTGTCGCCCCTGATTTTTGTCATATCTGTCCATGTCAGCAATTGTTTCCAGGTCGCAAGTTTTGCTACATGTTTAGTGTTGTGTAATTATTTGTTCAAGCTGGATTTTGATATGTGTTGCTAATAAAATTAATGTTCAGGTCTACCACGATACTGGAAAATTCAGCCTCTGTTTGAAGCAATCAGTTTGTTTTTCAACTGATGTCTCACTCATACAGGGGTACTTTTTGGAAGAGGATAAGGTAATTAAATAACACCACCTCTTCATTTTCATGCGTTTCTCTCTGTAAGTCAGGAATCTTCAACATTGTAGTATTTCCAACAATTCCACGGAAAAGGTGATGTCGCATGCAGAGTGATAGAAATTATTCAGTGTTGCGTGTACATTTGGCATCAACTGTAATTATCATTTATTATCTTTTTATTTTTTCAGATAGTAGAAGCTAGTGAAGCATCCGATTTAGAATGGGCGAAGACCTTGGCTATTGGAGCTTGTACAGGTGGAGAAGTACAGGAAATCAAGGACTACGGTGTCATCGTTAAACTACCGAACTATAAGGATGTCGTCGGCTTTGTCACACACTACCAATGTACGTATCCATGTGCAATTCGTGCACCAATTCCTTGAATGGGTGGAACTCCATGTATTATTCTATCGTTTACCAAGCAATGTGGTCTCCTATTTTGAATTTGTTGCATGGAATGTCGAGGGCAAACGCATCAGCTTGTACATGATGGTTTCTTGAATATCATGTTTCCTGTTGTCGAGGGTTGTAAGAATCAAATTCGATGCATTAGCTACGAATGGTACTGTTTTATGCTGAAGTCCTGCAGGAAGTTTTAAATTACGTTGGTTTTAGATTGCTTTACGGTTTAGCTATCATTTCCCATAGTTCTCCTGAATGAACCTTCGAGATAATCTCCTAAGATTGAAAAGAAGTACTTGGTGTGCTTACAGTGGGCACTCCGGTAGAAGTTGGCGACTCGGTCCAGGCAAGAGTGCTAGATGTCGTGAAGGCCGATAGGATTGTTGACCTTACAGTACGGCCTGAGCTGCTCCAAGTGAACAAACATGATTCAACCAAGAAAAAGGAGAAGAACAAAAAGGTTTTTCCATTCCCTCATCTTATTATAGTTGTGAATTATGTCTCTATTTGCATTAGATAGGTTTTATTTCTGTGTCAGAAAGTTCCATATTCATATTCTTTGATGTGCTCCCTCATATGCACCTGAAATCGAGACAAAACACGTAGGTGAATGTTATTGTCATTAGGATGGACGTTTCAAATGGTTGGAGATTTTATGCTACTCCCTTGAAATATTATTGTTATATTGATTGACTAAAGTGCACTTAATAATACGCTCATTAATCGAGAGAACCGTGAACTTCCACATGAGGACATATCTATGACAAGTGGACTTTTGTACCTCTTATGACTCAACACAATTGAACAACTGGCTGATGACTCGCTGCTCCTTACTCTTCTTCGAGATAGCTAGAAGCACACTGTGATCATCAGCATTGCTATTTGCTCTAGCTTGTTCGCGAAGAGTGAGGGTGTAGTTGTCAACGTATCCACACTTAGCGAACTGTAATTGTACTCTTAAAATTTCAGAACTCTGCAACACTATTTTGAAAATACTGCCTGAGTTTCACTGTAGTAAGATTGTTTTTCTATTTATGAAGCCTACCAAAGCAGGAACATCCAGGTATTGTGGCCACAAAAGTATGTTCATTTTATGATTTGAGTGTCTTCACCCATGACATGTGGGGGTTGGAGCGTTGTCCTTAATCTGGGCGTTTTGCATCTTGATACTAGTCTTGGGGTTTCATGTGTAGTAAGAAATGACTATCATGTACGTACTCTAAAATTAAGTACAACTAATGCAATAATCATTGTTTAGTTTGCCACCATCTTGATTGTCCTTCCGCTTCCACTGCTTGACTACCAGGGGTAATTTCTGAAGTTTGAAAATGTACATCTAGTATTGCTTAGGATGATTATTCTGTTGCATAATGGCAAACAGTTTAGTATTTACTTGTATTCGATTTTCCGAGCAGCTCTCAATGTCAGCACGGCTTGGTTTCTTTTGTTTTGCATGCTTTCCTGTTAATGAATGTCGTCTTTTAATTTGTGTGTTGTTTCTAATTATTATTATTATTCTTATTATTATTTTTGATATTTTGTTTCCTGGCACAAACAGAGATCACATCCAGTTATGGCCTTAGAACTTCATCAGAAAGTTTCGGCAGTGATAGAACTTGTCAAAGACGCTTATCTGGTATACAATTTGAATCCCTAAAATTACAATTGTTGCGTCTCATCCATGTTATGGTGATTCAGATCTGAATTTTGGGCATCCTACTGTTCTAAGAGAGAACCCTCTCTTTTTTATTATTCCTGAGGAGGTTGCCTGCGCTTAGCAGAGTGATGTTTTTGAATGTGTCACTTGAAAAGATGTACTGTGTGCCTTCAGGTGCTGTCCCTACCAGAACAAGGTAATGCTATAGGATTTGCAGCTGCTGGTGATTATAATTCCCGACGACAGGATTCTCATCAGCGCTACAGTCCAGGGCAGAGGTGAGTTGCTTCATGCAGTAATGGCTTAAATGATGGATCTACGCGGACATCGTAGATCCATCATTAATCACAGATGAAAACCGCGTAGGATTGAAAATTCCGACATACTGGGTCCTGAACATTGAGGCATTTGAAAGTTTCTGTTCGTTCAGCACGAAAGCTTTTGGGACTAATTGCAGGCTGTAACATAATTTCATTTTAAAATGTGAAGCGTATGGATTTTTAAATGAACTTCCTATCCTCCACGAAATCAAGAACCTTGATCATGGACTCCTCACTCACATTGTGAATATCTAAACATGTTACAACAGTGGAGCTTTTCGAGGTGCCCTCTTCCCGCTAGTCACAGATAATTAATGAACAAGTAGGATTGTTCACAGTGAACACAAATGTCATCTGCCTTCTCTCGTTTATCATCTGTAACATCTTCGAACTTGTCTGTGTAGGGTAGTAGCAACAGTGGAACACTTAGGAGATGAAACCAATGGCAACAGGATGCTCCTTCTATTGAGCAATACCGGCGATTCCGTTGAAGTAAAAACCTCCAATACCAAGAAGCCTCGAAGGGAGTTGGACAAATTGATTGGTGCTATCGTTGATGCTGAGGTAAACACTTGATTGTGCCCTGAGTGTTTATGTAATGGTGCTAATTTTTAAAACTTGGTGACGCTTATGAACCATCTTGTCATTGTAGTTTTACGCACCCAGGTTTGATGCGACAGATGTGCTAGGAAGGAGATTGACGTTTTCGAACTTACCAGAAATATAGTGCTTTTTCTTTTATAGATTCAGTTTTTTCTTTTTGAGTTTCGAGCGTTCATATGAGTAACAATAGTGTTATCTTTCGATTTTTTATATGAATTACTTGTTCTGTTGGTTGTATCACGATTTAGGTGGTGGCTATTGAGGAGCTTCAATTAGTAGTCCGCGTAAGCACAGGCACGATCACGGAAGGTCGCGTTCATATTACCGAGGTGAAGGTTCTCACCAGAATGTGTTGGAATCGACGTTTTTTATCTTTTCTTGAATGGCTTTGCGCTACTACACGCACTATCGACTAATTTCATCTTGTTATTTTTCAGTTTTCTTGTCGGTTACTATTGTGTAAGATACAAATCTGTAATTTCTTACCTTTTCGAGCGCAAGTTAATTTCGCATTTTTATGCCAGGTTATTCAAATGATGACCTGTGTTGTGATGGAATAATTTGGAGAGCCATGTACAACTAACATAATCTGTTTGTTTAATTTGCTTGATCTGAGCGCCATATTAACGATAATTAGCTTATCATTTCTGTCTTCACCAGATTATAGATGGATTTGAAGAAAAAAATCCTCTTAGTTCCTTCAATATTGGGCAAAAGGTAAGGTGCAGAGTGGTGCAGAGAGTACGTCTGCAAAAGTCTCCCGGTCGCAAAGAACGTACTTCTGTTCTGGAACTTTCGTTGCGACCTTCTCAACTCTCAGGTTAGTTCCTTATATACTGTACATTTTCCGCGTTGTAATGATTTCAGTGGTTTTTGATTAGAGAGGTTCTTACATTTTTTCTCAACTTTCTGCTGTTATGCATTCCATGCCTGTTTAATGTACAAGAAGTAGAGGGGCACTCAACTATTTGAAGCCTCATAAATTTGATTCTTTAAAACGATTTTACTATCTTTTCTCTATCTTAAGACTGAAGCCTCAAGGACACCTCATCCGATGCAGAACATCTGGAGACAAACGTGGGAAGTACACGTCCTGGAAGTTTGCCTTCACTTGAAGAATTAGTTCCTGGCCAGTGTATTACGGCCTACGTGCAAGAGGTGAAAGATGATTGGGCTTGGCTGTCGGTTGCACCGCATCTTCGAGGTCGCCTGTTCATCCTAGACTCATCAACAGACCCCTCAGAGTTGGAGAAGTTTGCAGAAAGATTTACGGTTGGTACTCCTGTTAGCTGCTGTGTCAAGTCTGTGGACTATGAGAAACGTACTCTAGATTTCATCCGGAGGCAGCCTCCACAGCTTCAGGAGAAGTCCTTATTTGATGTTCCACCTATGGAGGACGCCGATTCATCCTCTGAAAATAATACCAAGCAAGTTTTTTGGATCCAAAAGGGAGATTCATTGGGTGGCCGGGTCAAACAAGTAAACCCTGGTGTGGGAGGAATAAGTGTACAGATTGCTCCATCGTCATTCGGAAGAGTTCATGTGACTCATCTTAGTGACGAATGGAAGGATAATCCTGCATCTGCATTCAAGGAGGGCCAATTTGTGCGGTGTGTTGTTTTGGGAGTCGAGAAAAATCCCAATGGCAAGACGGTAATAGACCTCACATTGCGGAAATCTCTGGGTGGAATGGTTGCTGCAAATCTACAAGCTAGTGACTCGGCCACTACGAGGTGCGTAAAGTTTCAATGTCGAACCATTAAACCATTGTTAAAAATTATTTTCAAAAGCACTGAAATGTTGGACAAATGCTAATGAGAAGTGAGTAGCCGATGTGTAGTTTAGCATGTCACCATAATGCTCTAGCTTAATGTGCTTTTTTTTTCACCAAAACCGGTTTTTTTATAGCTCGTTTTGAAATTTTCAACGCTTTTGAAACATGTTTTTACTAGAGATGATGACAATTATTTGAGTGCTTCTATTAAGCGTTGTTTTGATTTTGTGATTCGGTCATTCCTACAGCTCTTCAACAGCTATTAATATCACTAGCATCAAAGACCTGAAAATAGATCAGGAAGTGCAGGTGAGACTTGATTATCGCAAACTTTTTTTAATCAGATGCCTCTGCTGAGTTAGGCTTGAGCAGATAGCATACTTGATTACTTCTTAACACAAAATGCTTAGATCGCAATCCCAATGTGCTGCATCCAAAGTGATTAATTTGATGTTTCATTGTGGATTTTACAAGGTAGGATGTATCAAGCTGTGTATTTTATGCAACAGCTATCAAGTAGTGATTAGGTTGCTGTTTGTGGAAGATATATTAGTAGTTTCGCTAGATGGGAAAGTAAGATAGTCACCTTTGACGTAGGTGTTTGGTGCTTCAGGGGTTTGTGAAGAGCACTTCAAAGAAAGGATGTTTTATTTCTTTAGCGCCTCAAGTTGATGCAATAGTTCTTACTTGTAATCTTTCGAAGGCTTTTGTTAAAGATCCTGCTGAAAGCTTCCCTCCTGGCAAGTTGATCAAAGGGAGGTACGCCTTTTTACTGAAACGCTTGAAATCTATCGTGTCAATGTTTTCTTAAGTCATCGCAAATTAGTATGAACATTATTTTTTATACGATCTTTGAAATTTCGGCAGCCAGTGTTGTACTTTTTTGGGTTATGCATGACTTGTACAAAATGTTTTTTGCCATACCAGCCAATTAAGTTTGTTCTTTATTTCTTGTCTTTTGCACAGGATTATCAACATTGATGCAGATTTGGGCAGAGTGGAAATGAGTCTTAAAACTTCGGGCCAGAAAAAGGAACTTACCAGCACTCTCTTGGGTCGTCGGTTTGGAGACTTCAAGGAAGGTGAAGTTGTTTTTGGTACTATCAAGCGAATCGAAAAGTTTGGCATATTTGTGACCATTGAGCAGAGCAGTGTGGTAAGTTGATTGTCGCAAAATGTTCTCTTTGATTCATTGAAATTACTCGCATATTCCCTTCGAAAGATTTGCAAGAGTGAATTTTTTGTATATTATTCAAGTCCTGTTCTTTACATGGTGGGGGTTGATGTAAGCATGTGATTTATTTAGGAGCTATGATTGTTTTCCTGTGTTGGATTATTTCTGTTTTAAGCCCTGTCTATATGCAACAGGTAGCTATGTGTCATATGTCGGAGGTTGCTGACCATTATTTCAAAGATATCGACAAACATTACAAAGTCGGTGATCGCGTACGTGCTCGCGTTCTGAAGGTACGTACAGAAGTTTGGCATGAAAGAAATTCTGGTCAAATTAGCATCTTTGCGTTCGACAATTGACTGTGACGTAGTTTTTTACACTCCTTTCTTGTTTTTCAATACAATGTCATATATTGATATTAGCAAATATTCAATTGTTACCCTGCTTTCGTCTGCAGGTGGATAACACAAAGCAGAGAATTTCACTTGGTCTGAAAGAGTCTTACTTTTCAAACACGGAGACACATGTGCAACCCGTGACTGAGGAAGATGATATGAAAGTGACAAATGAGGAAGATGAGTTGGTTGATGATTGTGAAGAATCCGAAGAAGATGATGTCGATGAGGAAAATTTAGAAGATTCGAAAGGAACACCGAGTGATGAAGGTAACTTGAACAGTTCTGATTTTTTTGTTTTGTTTTCCCTCTTCTTTTTCTTCTTCTTCCCTTGATTTTGGTATCTGGCATTTTTTGACACCATTTATGGATGTTCATACGTGTTCTTAATTGGTTATGCCATTTACCGGACTTAGAATTGAGGATTTTGGTTGTTCGGCAGGCCCTCTTTGGGGGTATGAGGCTTGAAATGTGCAAACTAGAAGAACTCATTTTCTTCATTTTCTAGTTTAATAAACGCACATCTGGATGAAAATATTTTACCTACATTGTACTCGGTTTGGGTGTTAATTTCATCGGCTGAGCCAGTCGGTTAATTTTTACTGCAAATTATGTGCCTGCTTGTCAAGAGTTGAGTATGAATTATTTTACATCTAGTTTATCAGCTCACACTGAAGATCTAATTTTACAGACGAGAGTGAAGACGAATCAGAAGAGGAGAATGGGGTTGATTTGGATGACTCAGACGACGACGAAGATGAAGACGATAACGAAGTAAATGAGTTACATAATAACGCTATTGAGACACCAACTCCCACTCTAGTAGCGCCTCCTTTAGAAGTAGATTTGGAGGATACTAACGTCGTCGATGATTCTGAGAAAGAGGAGGATGAAGAATCTGAAGATGCCAAGAAACTGAATAAGAGGGCTAAGAAGCGGCTGAAACAGCAGCGGTTAGTGCTCACATGCTTCAAAAGTGCTTTTAGAGCAGTTAACACTTCATCATTCACAAGTAAATAGCAATGAATCAAAAGTGACGTGGATTGTTTCTGACTGTTTTCTTAAATCTTTTTTGCAACCTGCAGTGAGGCAGAAATTAGTGCTGCAGAAGAAAGGCGGTTGAAAGGCGACCAGGCTCCGGAAACTGTGGATGAATTTGAGGCACTTGTCCGAACATCACCAAACAGCAGTCTTGTGTGGATAAAGTACATGGCGTTCCTACTACAGCTTGCAGATGTTGATAAAGCACGGGCTATTGCTGAAAGGTTATAAACTTCACTTGTGCTTTTTTATCGTCCAGTTCATGTTACTAATATTATTGTAAGTTTTCACTGGATACTAATTCTAGAAACTGTAATTTTTAATTTTTTTCGGACTTCATTGGTATTTTTGTAGGGCTCTGCAAACGATTAACTACAGGGAGGAAATGGAGAAGTTGAACGTTTGGATAGCTTATCTGAATCTTGAGAATGTCTACGGCAATCCCCCGAAGGTTAATCTGATTCCAGACTCAACCGTGTTGTTACTTGGTGCTTAACTATTGCTTACAACATCTCCAAAGTATATCTTAAAAAGGAAAAAAAACAGAAAGTGAAATTTCCGCAAGCATAAACCCTAAACTGAATTTAGTTATTTGAATCTGCTTTAGCTCAAAGCTTTTCTCACAAATGAAATTTACATGATACGCAGGAAGCGGTCTTGACCCTATTTAACAGGGCTTTACAGTATAACGACCAGAAGAAGCTGTACTTTGCGCTCTTGGGTATTTATGAAAACCCAAGGCAGCCTAAGGGTCCTCAGTATGACATGTTCGACCAGATGATGAAGACCATGATTCGCAAGTTCAAATCTTCTGCCAAGGTGCTGAAATCATTCCCGAGTAGTTCTTGAATTTGACGTAGTCACAATTCTGAATGTAGCATATGAACGTTTCCAAGGATTTTAATCGTGACCCTCGTAATGATTCTTGTATCCTGCGTATGCCTGGACTATTGAATATGTCAATTTTGGACTTGTGTTTAGAGCAATCATTTCTTGGAACAAGTGCTTGACTCTTTTTCCGCTTGCCTTTTCTTTTAGGTTTGGCTAAAACAAATCCAGAGTCTAATGGAAAGAGGTATGGGAGATGTAGCTCATAAGACTTTGGACCAGTCTCTTCTTAGTCTGCCACGTCGTAAACACATCAAAGTCATCAGTAGGGCTGCACTACTTGAATACAAATCTGGTTCTGTTGAACGAGCAAGGTCCATCTTTGAGGGTATACTTCGGAATTATCCTAAAAGAACCGATCTCTGGAGCGTTTACCTCGATCAGGTATTCTATCTGGGTCCTTCTTGCATCTTATGATAATGGTTGCCGGTATTACACGGGGGTTTTTAGCGGGATCACTGGGGTAGCCGAAGAGTTCAGCAAATTGAGTAGCTTTCTGTGTCGTGCCGTCATTGTGTTCTCGTCAGCAGATTTTACTAAACCCTTAAATACGAGTTATGTATTGTTTCTTTGATCAAAGTATTTTCCATATCAATTTAATGTCAATTAAGCAGTTACGGCTTTTGTTGGATTACGAACGCTAACGATTTTTTTTTTTTTTTTTTTTTTTTTTCCCAGGAGATTCGAGTGGGTGAAGTTCCTGTAATTCGAGCAATTTTTGAAAAGGTGACCTGCTTGGAGCTTCCACCCCGCAAAATGAAGGTATCATTTCTGGCCATTAAATGTCTCAAGAGTTGTATCAGCGTAATGTATCTAAAAGACCAAATGATGTGAGCTCAGCTTCTCGGCCGTATGCATTCTACTCTAATTCCCTCCACTGTCTTCCTGTCTTGTTTTTTTGATGAAGCCGAAGGGTGTCTTGTACGTGTGGCTCACGTTTCCTTCTTTACTCTTTGTAGTTTCTGTTCAAGAAATATTTGGATTACGAGAAGGCCAATGGTGACGAAGAGCAAATCGAGCATGTCAAAAGGAAGGCCATGGAGTACGTCAACAACAAGCTTGGTTGAGTACTTCCTTAACTGGAACCTGATCTTATTTTGGGTTCACTCACGAGGTTTAAGAATTCGAGATGTCAGACTCTGCTATCTATGTGGCCCATGGCGCACAGTGGCTATCGTCTGGACGTTGTAATGGATTGAACTAGTCAATACGAAGTTTTTCAATAATCCGTAGAATTTCGAGGTATCTGAGCTTTAGAAATCTATCCCCGAATTTCGTAGATTTTACACTGGTAGCTAATGGACATATGGAGTTAAATTATAATGAGAATGATGACAATTCACACAGCTGTTGATCCAGGAATCACTGGAAGCGATCCCTTATTTCCAATAGCCTCGTTTCAAAAAAACAAGTAGCTACTAGAATTTCTGTACTCTTGGATTTGAATCAGCTCTGCTGTAATATTTTAAGGGTTTTACCGCTTTCAAGCAGTACAAGTTTTAGTTGCCGTCCCGAAGAATTCCTAGTGTGCAGCTTATTTTTGTTGAAACAGTCTGCCCCATGTAATGATCCCTATCAATTAGTAGAATTATAAAGCTAGAAAAACTGATAAACCATTGTAACTTCTACTCCAGTGATTTTTTTTTATTTGTGGTGTCAGTCGCTCTTGAAGTCATTTAAAAAGGATATCTCAATGCATTGATGTTGTCTAATACAAAATTTGTACTCTTAAAGAAACACAAGATGTAATCATTTGTAATGTAGTAGTAGCAAGGTTTAGAAAAGATTTCAAAGTTGCACAATTCAAGTGTTGGATCTCATATTTGTGTTGTACATTAAGCTATTATTTATCCTATTAATAACTCAAAGTTATCATGTTAGGCTACAAAGATATAAATGAAAGATTCCAAGCAAGGATCATAGATATACATATTTACTTAGATTAAAGGAGTTAGATAGAAATAAATAAAAATAAGTAAATTTGATAATATCTAGTGGAAAAGCTTCTTATAAGCTTTATAGATGCGGTTTTGACTTTTTATTTATTTGTAGATGATTAGTAGATTGAAAACTTGGCCAACAATTTGTCCTTGTATTATACATATTGGTGACTTGGGGTACAAGTTGGCTATGTAGTGTACATGTAGGAAACTTGTCTTATTGATTAGGCACATGTCTTACAAGTTGGACATGAAATGGAGGTCTTGTAGAACATTGCCATATAACTCCTAGTTAGATAGTATATATGGATGCTAGAGTGAGGTCTTTTTCACTCTTGTTGTTGCTTTTCTTGTTCTTAATCTTGTTTCAACAGTCTTTAATCGTCTTTGACAATAGCCATTCTAGTTTTAATATCATACTATCTTTGAATGAATATCTACTCTCTTAAAGTAACATTAGAATGTAATGATATTTTCATTGTTTGTAATTTATGTCTTTAATAGCAAGTCATAATTATGTTTTTATTGGGAATAAATACTCTAGGTGTGATTAGAATGAGGTCGTAAGCAAATTTAAATAGAGTGTGGCTTATTAAAATTTTCAAAATTGTCAAATGTTTAAAGAAAGAAAGGTGTTCATCCCATATAATGGATGTTAATCTTGGATACTATGCTAAACAAAGAAATATTTTGACAACAAAATTATCTAGATTAGAAATATTTAAAGTTAAAGAAAAGAAAGTATAAAAACCTAATATACAAAACTTGGATTATTAAACCTCTTCAATAAAAATCCTTATTAATGTATAGTCTAATAATTTGGAGCTTAGTCAAATTTTATTGCAAGTTAGTTAAGAATTGTTGACCACTTTCAAATATTGGTGGATTGTTATATCTCTAGTCAAATGCAGATTTGCAATACCTCAACATAATTTTTTATGCCAAAATTGATGGATTGTACATGAAATGTATGTCAAAAAGTGTTATGCACATACTTCAATTATGAATTAGACTACATAAAACTTAACTCTAAAAAAACATAAAAGACAAATATAAGACATTTCTTGCTGGATGGCTTTCTGTTTGATTGCATTCTTTGGGAGATTCCGAGCTAAATTTTCCTATGTATTGCAGAGTTTTGGTATCTGCATCCAAATATTGAATGTGGACACCATTTGTCTCCGAATGATATCGACATCATGTATCATACAAACCTCGACCCAGCTTTTCACATGATATGAACATACCCAGGGGCCACCATTGCAATTGCTTCGCATTTCCACTTCAAGATTGGCAGATGATGATTAATATCAGTGTAACCAACAACTGATTGCACAACCATTAGCTTTACAAGATGTATCCTGATCGAACTTGAGGGTCATAAGGGGAAGCGTACAGTGGGGCAGCCATGAAGAGGGGATGCCATTTCGCACGAGAGTGTGAGGTTGTCTGTCAAGTCAATGGGATGAGAAAGATCCTGAGACCATGAAAAGTGATGCAGCAAACTGGCTAGCCAGAGCTGCGCGGTTGCGATCCCCAAGGCTCGTCCGGGACAAACGCGCCGTCCAGACCCAAACGGAGCGAGTCGCAAATCGGTGCCCAGTACGTCAAGGTCAGAGCCACCCTCACTCTTCAGAAATCGAGAAGGATCAAAGACTTCTGGGTTTGGCCACACCGAGGAATCGTGCGTGATTGCCCACATGTTAACCATGGTAGTGGTTCCTCGAGGTATGTGACAGCCTGCGATCTGTGTATCCTCATTTGCGAGGCGCGCCCAGGACAGCAGTGGTCCCGGTGGATGCGATCGCAATGTCTCCTTCAGAACAGCTTGCAGATATGGCAAGTTTTCAATATCCTTCTGTTGCACAAGCCGGTTGGATCCCACCACAGCATCAAGTTCCTCGTGAATTCGTGCCTGAATTCCTTGATTCAATATCACCTCTGCTAGGGCCCATTCTGTGAGGACTGCAATTGTATCTGTGCCTCTGAACACCATCTCCTGGAGGGCACATTCCGAATCACAGAGTCAGTAAGGAACTCTAAGCTGGGTTCTATTAACCTACCATTAACTAGGCAGTTCCTTTGACATCCCTGAATCATTCGTATCAAGGATTTTCTATCCCTGACATTCCCGAATCCCATTTCCTCAAGATTGACGGTATTTGTCGTTAGTCATCGCACCTCACACAATGTTTACGTCTAGATTAAATGAACGCTAATCTAATGATGCGGATAAGTCTGAATTCAACCACGTAGTATGTCCTTGGAACTGAGATGTTACCCAAAGTATCGATATGATGTCTTCATCTTGTAGTTTTTGGTCACCTTCCAGAGATAGCAATGCATCCACAAAGCTAGTATTGAGAACGCTGGAGGTCGCGGAATGGCTCTGGTGATGGCAGCGGCGGCGTTCATCCAGAATTGATTGCACAAAAGCGCGCACTTTCATGGTCAAGTTCCTGCATCTTCTGGAGAAGGAAAGGAAAGGAATGTGGCGGACCAAAGGCAGGTGGTCAGCCCAGTTGAAACCACCAAGAAGCTCGAATCCTTCCCTTATCATGGCTTCAAGTGCCTCTGCCTCATCGCAGGAATTGCCGAAATCAAAATGACGCCCGAAGACGATGGTCATGATGTTGTTGACGGCTGCTCGTTGCAAAAAAGGTCTTGCACACAGCCCGACTCGATAATCCTTCACGCAATCCGTGCGTATTGAATGAACCATGGCCGAGATCATGCGCAACGTTTCACGCTGCAACAACTCCGAGTGCGTTACGATCTGCCTATGGGAAAACATATGGGTAACAGCGACTTTTCTTAAGTGGCGCCAGTAAGGTCCTTGCAATGCAAATCCAATTGCCCTTTCAAATCCCAAGTCCAAAGCTGCTTGCTTCAGCGGTCGCTCTCCGAAGACAGCGCTACGAAGGATCTCCTTTGCCACATTTGCATCGGAGGTCAGTACAATGAGGGTAGTTCCAACGCTCAGTGCCATCAGATTCCGAGTGGAAGGTCCTCCTGCCCATGCTTGCCTTGCTAACTCCCTGTGCATTTCGCTTCCCTGCATTAGCGTCCAGCTTCCAATGACCGGACATCCTCGTGGTCCATTCGGCGTTGGAAGTTTGTTCGAAGGTGAGAATATTCGGGAAAAACTCCATGCAGGGCCACCGGGGCCACACCATCCAACTATCGAGATGATCAAACTGATAGCGGCTATGAAAAAGACTAGAATGCTCGATGCATGAACATCAGTCCAGGTTGCGGTATCCACGGTCCCCACCTGCTGAATGAATGGTGAGATGTACTGAAATAGCCACCTCAGCGGTTGCGTCAGAAAGCCATCCAGCAAGAACTGTTTGACTGCATCCCTTGAGAATTCCTGAGCAATCGCGATGAGTATCAAGGGGGCCGCAAGAGCTTTAATCACACTATTCACAGGTTTGCACGCTTTTGACTTTGTCAAGGCGCTGAGAAATTCTCGGAATTTTTTTGCAACAGCTCTTCCAACATTTTGATATTTCTGGAAACGACCAATGCATGAGTCTTTGCAGACTATATCCCCTTTGCTTATGAAAATCGGAAAGTCCGTTAATGGCCAGAGACGTGCAGGTCGTTCTGCCATTCTCAGAAAAGCAAACGTTATTTAGCACTTCTGTGTATCAGAAGATGATTTGCTTATGAGAGACCGGCGTGCGTCAATGCTTATGACAATTGCAAGTAATCGGCAGGGCATCGCAGCCTTCGTATACTCTTCTTTTGCAATACCGAAGTTGACGCTTTGGAGATACCTCAGAATTCCTTGATGGTGCAACCGTGTGTACCAATAACTTGAATCAGTATGGTTTACAGCGTCAAGCTCTCGAAGTTTCGTTTTTGGGAGTAGGGATTGCAGAGGTAATGGATATTATCATGCCCTAGCAACGGCGGTACTCTTAAGAGAGTGTGGATCAGCAGCAGAGATGGAATAACAAGATACTGATATTCAAAGTGTTCCTCCCCTGTGGATCGACGTTGTGCGCACCGATCAGAAAAGGTTTTCAATATCAAACTTCTTCACTCCAGCATTGTCATAGGACGAGGTCGGAAACAGCAGAGCAACCTCGATTGAGGCCGACGACGAGCAGGAGTGATCCGAACTCCAAGTGTATCTGAGGATGTCTCCTTGAGTAGCAGCAAGTTCAGTCGAGACACTTCTTGACTTTCTGCTGTATGCAACGGATTTTGAAGATGGGGCGGCGGCGGCCTAGGCTACCCACTGTCTCTGATGACGGCGCTTTCGGAACCACGGAGATGGTCCCTGCGTCATCACCGCACCCGCACAGGCTGAATGGCGGAATCAGTTTGTGGCATCAGAGCTCATACACTCCAAGCTTGGCATTTGTTGGGACAATATTCTCTACACGACGAACATGACGTCGACGCATTGCTCTATTGTGAGAAACAAAGATTAAGAATCGTGCATGTGTATAAGCCCAAAAACACTGATGGCAGGCATCAAATTTGGTCATGGACCCTCGGACATGAAGGCTAAGGGGTAAAGAATCCAGAGACCGACTCATGTGTGCAAGCTCCAACACCCAAGAAAGAGTTTCATGTATGGGAAGCACATTACCGTGGGCTCATGAGGTTGCAAGTGAACAGGCAGGAGTCTCTGATTCTACTCCTCGAGATCTTGACCAAAAGGGATGATTAATTGGTTGCACCCAACCATATGGATAAACAGAAGAAACTGCACAAAAGTCAAGCACACAAAGGAAAGCTCGAAAGAGGAGAGGTACTATGAGCGACTTGGGAGTAGTTATACAGTGCACTGTATCAAGTTCGAAGCTGTGAACAGGAAGAGACAAAACATGCAATTCTGACAAAAAATGACAGACAGAGAATGACATTTGCCGAGCTCTCTCTCTTATAGCTCACCCATTCTTCCTTGTTCTACAAACATATCATCTAACCTCTTCAGTGTGGAGAATACTTAGTCAAAGTGCGTACTATTAACGCACTGTAATGAGTGGTATCATTGATATGTGGACTCGTCCTATTGAAGTCGTTAACCGAGGAGCTTTCTGTGGCTTAAAAGAGGCAAACCAAGCTACAGCGCAGACCTACGGCAAGCTAAGCCAAGGGTCTTCACTCAATGCCAACAATCCTGGTTACAAAATGTGAGAGGTATCTCTTATTTTATCATCCCAGAGAAACCCAATTGCATTGAATGGATTAGAAAACGTAATGCTGTGCAAGGCTTGTGAAGTTTAAACGTACTTAGATGACAGTCAATAAGTTCATTGAGGGTTTTTATGCGATGCCTTTTCTTACAAGAAAAAAAAAAAAAAAAAAAAAAAAAAAGAAAATTGCAGAAATGAATCATTGCTGCACAAGTGGGTGCTGTTACTCACTTGTTTCAAAATATGCTTTTTCAGGTTTAAGATTATGGTACATGCACTTGCATGGCATCCAGTGCCCAACTTCAAGGGTGTGATTATTTTGGTTGGCGGAAATGCCAATTGAACAAGTAAATGAACTTCAATTCCGTTAGTTTTCTATTTCTTTTTCCATATTTTCTTCCTTCTTTGTATTTTTTATTTTATTTTACTTTATTTATTTAGATAAATTAGTGGCTTCTCCTTAGATTCTCTACTTGCTCTTCACAGGTTTGAGCTATTTTTCGTTGGTTTATTTATTTATTTATTTTACTAAGATGCCTTTCTCAGAGTTGTTTCCAAGTGCATGTCTCCATATTCCCTACAGCAAACCCAAGCCAGGCAATGCTGAAGCAGCGGCATCTTCAGTGCACACCATGCAAAGGTGAGATGCCACTACTTGCAAAGTTCTGGCCCACATTGGAATTAAGTGGAATTGCCGAGCCTTCGTGAGGTTTGCAATTAAATGTATTGTAATGCAAGTGGACTTATCAATTAATTTATTTTGAGACAAAAGGTGTAGAGCCCCCTAGCTATTAGCAATGTAAATCACAGCCAGGTATAGCAGGGGTGAGGTTCTATGCAATACTTTGGGTTGGTTATAGTCATTAGGGGGTTTCAAACATGGCATTTTTGGGGTGATATTTCACCATGATGCAAGTTCGAAGTATTCCATGATATTTTAAAACATTATTTGAAACTTCACCAAATCACCCACCTTGTGAGGTGGGTGATTCTGGAATCAAAATATCAAAAAGGGACGGGTCAAATATCAAATACCATGTTGATTGCATACCATCTCTCTTTGTCTTTGATTTCATATCAAATGATAATAAAATTTGAATTTGGAAGCAATATCAAGGAGTAATAAAGTTTGAATGGTGATATTTGGGATTTGATATTTCAAGTGATCCTAAAAATATCAGGTGCTGAATCCCAATTATTTGGTTTTGAAAAAGTGCCATGTTTGAAACTCCCTATAGTAGTGGATAATTCACTCAAAACATTATACAAATTTTTTCATTTCTTTTTCCTAGACCAAGTTGTTTTAATGTTTTCCAACTAAGAGCTCAATGGATTGTGGATTTTTACTTGTGTGGAGTCAAGTTGTTATTTAGTTAAGTTTGTTGTATTGGACAAAGGCCATTGAAAGTGAGTTGTGAAGACAAACATTACATAAAGTAGTGTTGAAAAACCTTTTAATATTTATTGGATACAAAAAATCTGGACATAATCTCCAATAATGAGATACTTGAGGCAAGATACAAGTTAAAAGATGTTTAAAATGAATTTGCTATGTATTATTTCTTTGGAATATAAAACAAATCAAAGATTAGATTTAAAATATTTTGTACAAAGTTGATTTGATAAAAAAAAAAAAAAAAAACATTAGATTTAGATCATCTATATATATACATACATATATATATACATTGTATTTATATATTTTTAGCTTGTTAAATAATAAAACAATTACAGGTTGTAATAGTTATTTAATTTATCTATGATACTATTATTTTTAACTATAAAAAAAATCCTACCACGTATTTATTATTGAGAACATTAAGATGTATTGTGAACCAGAAAACAAATAAAAGTATTGTATCAATAAAATAACGAAATTCTATACTGAAAGGATGAGGGTTATTTGAAATCCAAATAAATTTAGAATAAGGCATTTAAAAGTTCTCAGAACTTAGAAGAAATATTTGGATGATCTATCTTATATATATATATATATATATAGATGCATATTTAAGTTTAATATTTTAATGTAAAAAATCTTAATTTGAGTCATTTTTAATCAAAAAATAATAACTTATATATATTGTAGAATAAGTAGTTATTTGCTGAATTGTAGATACTTAGTTTATAGTGTAAACAGGGATAGATGACTGTTGAAAAGGTAGTTCAATAGGTAAAATGGATGAATAGTTAGAAAAAGCAGTTTTCATTAGAGATGTAGCAGTTGGTATCTCGTGGTAGCATAAGGAGGATGGGAGAGAGGAAGTAAGGGCCAGACTGTGATAGTGTGAGCTGGGATAAGCTTGGTGCTACCTCTTTTCTTTTGTTTGTTATTTTCTTTGAATAAGAAGATTAAGAGTTTCTGAATATTGTGAAAGTGAATTACGAAATGGAAGTATGATTGTTATTAAATGGGAAGAAGAAAGATTGAATGCTGAAATCTGATTGTAGTTCAGCAGAGAGAATGAGTCTGTGTTTGTGTGAAACATTGTAATGTGAAGGCAGTTAATGGTGAAGAACTCTAGAATTTGGATTATAGTATGATTATGTCTTGTCATTTAGGATAGTGTGAGATTACACGTTGTTGTTATCAGTGATGATGGAGTATTATTAGGAAGTAGAAAGTATTGTAGTGTTTCTTGGGTGTTTTAAGTAGTACGAAATACAGTTAATTGTGTGACCCTAACGTGTAAGCTCATACGGTATTCTTTCCCTATGTTCGAATTCCCCTATACAGGTTTACTCTGATTAGATTAGTTAGAGTAAGTAAAACAACAATATGTTAGGGACATAGTCCTTAGAACCTTTTAGAGACAAGTTTCTAGAACCTTATAGAGACAAGCTTCTAGAACCTTCTAAAAGCAAGTCTCTGGAACCTTCTAGAAGCTTCTTAGTTGGTAGAAGATGTTAGGGACATAGTCCTTAGAACCTTCTAGAGATAAGTTTCTAGAACCTTCTAGAATCAAGTCTCTGGAACCTTCTAGAAGCTTCCTAGTTGATAGAAGTTGCTTGAGAAGCTTCCTAAATAAGAGTATATATTGGAATCGAGGCTGAAGAGTTCTTCAGTCTCGACAATACATCTCTTGGAGCTCTACCTCACCTCTCTGGTGTTGTTCTTGTATTCATTTGATTAATCTAGTTCTTGCCAGTTCTTCTTGAACTTCTTGTTAGATCTTGAAATTTTATTTCTGTGTCCGTGACAGTATGTCGAGACTTCACTCACCTCAGATATCAGAGCTAGTTTCTTCTTTGTTAGAGTATCGATTACCCCTCTGCTTGGAAGTGTACTAGCATTTTAGAAGTTGTAGATTACCCTCCTCTAAACTGATACTTCTTTTGTTACAATATTGGAGCCTTATTCTTCTTGGAGAGAGTGGATTATCCCTTTTCTTGAAGCTCTTAAGACATTTTAGAGGTTGCGGAGTACCCTCCTCTAAACCAATATTGTCTTCTTGTAGAGTCATTTCTGTCCTTCTCTTAGAATGGCAAGGGGCCAAGACATTAGTATGATGGAAAGTTCAAAGTCCAAGTTAGATGCTATCATGAATGCCCTCGCTACGTTATCGCAAAGAACTGCAGAGATTGAAGGAGTCGTGGCAAGGCTTCATAATGATGGAGCATCTAGGATGGCACAATCTAGGTTGCACCAGCCTCAAACTTCTGCACTTGGAGAAGCAACTTTGCCTCAGGTTCGACAAGCACCACTGGTTCTACAACATAAGGAGCCCCGAGTTAGCCTTCCGGACAAGTTTGATGGTACACGTTCCAAGTTTTGAGGATTCGTCAACCAAATCAGGTTGATAACAGTTTTACAGCCCGAATGCTATCCAACGGAGGAATCACGTGTTGGGCTTGTTGGAACCTTACTTATAGGACAAGTTCTATCATGGTTTGCTCCTTTGTTTGAGAAACGATCGTCCATACTAAACAACTTTGAAACCTTTTTGGAGGCGTTTGCGGAAGCATTTGGTGAACACGACAAGGTTCGATGGGCTAAAACAAAGATCCAGTCACTACGACAAGGGATGCGTTCTATATCAGTCTATGCATCGGACTTCAGGCAATTAGCATGCGACATCAATTGGGACGAAGAAGCGTTGATGAGTCAATTCTATTGGGGTTTAAGGGACGATGTGAAGGATTTGCTGTTAACTCTTCCTGATCCGCAAACGCTCAACAAAGCTATTAGCCAAGCTGTGAAGTGTGATAACCGCCTATTCCAACGTCGCCAAGACCAACGTTCAAGACAACATACGATTCGCCACACCCCAATTATGTCAGCAAGCAGCGTGAATTCACATTCAGAGGTAGAAGACATGCAAATTGATGCGGTACGTGTCAAATCTCTTACTCTAGAAGAAAAAAAGCGACGTATGGAGGAAGGTTTATGCTTGTATTGCAGTGAAGAAGGCCACAAAGTTGGAAACTGCCCCAAGAAGCAAAATCGACGTATTATCAAGACTAGGGGTGCGTTTATTCAGAAAAACAAGTATGCCCAGCCATAATAGGAACCGTGCGGCTGAACAGTGAAATATCGCAACAACAACCAGGTTCCTTTCTTTCCGCTCAACCTGCCCTTTATTTTACAATCTCTTTGCTTATTGGCCCTCAAAAACTGAGAACCTTAGCATTATTAGATTCAAGAGCATCTGCTTGTTTTTTACACGAAGAAGTTGCGAAGCGTCATAAGATCCCTTTAGTACAAAAATCCAAACCTATTCACGTTGAGGTCATAGATGGACGACCTTTATTGTCTAGTAGTGTCACCCATGAATCAGAACCTATAGAAGTGATGTTTAAGGGCTATAGTAGTCATATTAGTTTCAATATTATAAGAACTCCATCAAATCCTGTTATTCTTGGTCTTTCCTGGTTAGAAAAGTATAACCCATCCATAGATTGGAAGTTGCGGAAGATAACCTTTCTTACAAAACCACCCAAGAGCAAGCCTAGTAGAAAACCCCGAATA